TCTCTCTTGTTCGTTATAGATGTAACTAAAACTGATTCGCTTGTGCTTTGTTGATGATCTCCTCATCTTCATAATGGAATCTCTGTGTCCAAAGTGTTGTCCATTGTAACCGGTGATCAACAAGATTCAAATGTTTGGTCTATTTGATAGCAATATAAAAACCTCATACGTTTCATGGACTGATGATCAAATTAAATATCTTTTTGGTCTTGCATGAATCATATATGGTTATGAATAACATGCACAAGTTAAGTTAATCAACAATTCCTCCAGTCCCATCATTTGTAGAAGTTGAAGCTTCATGTGTTCCTTTTGAATCACAATATGTTGCTTATATAAAACTACTCATTCACATGTTTGTTTTTGCATTGATTCCTAGCTAGATAGTTACTGAATTGACCTCTTTACAGCAACTAACTCTATTTGGAAAAATCATTTACTAGTTGTAATATCTAATCTCAGATAGGGGAACATCCAATTTTCATATGTAAAATAATAAAGCCAAATCTCAGACTGGTTTTTTGGCAAAAGGTGCTAGACTTAGGCCAAAACCTACCCTTGTTTGTATCATAAATTTGACCTCCTACTGTTTGTAATCTCAGCTAAACATTGATTTAGCATTGATTTCTTCATTTTAACAAAAAGTTCAAAGGGTGAAGAACCTTTATCTATGGTCAAAGTTCATTATCACAACTTTTCTGATTTTGCCAAAAGTGCAATGTACTAATAATTAAACATTTGTGGTGTCTCGAAGCGACACCATCAATACCATTACCATATATACCCAATCTCCATTCTTAAGACCTTTCACATTCAAACGAAAAAATATTCTACTCTTCAAAACCTATCTGATTTACAATCTGTTCCTTTTTTAACAAAGAGATCAATCACTATGTTCCCTGAATCTTCAACCGCCAAAACGAAGCTTGAGACTAAGAATTTTCTTAGTTTCTTACATGGTTTCACCGGAACCCGAATCATGTACACCAATCAAAGTAAGCTCTCATACTACAACCCTTCCTGCCACATGATGGATTACATAGTCCACATTATGAACACAATGCTTTGTGATAGTTTCTGTTTCAAGCGAGACACTCCCAACTATCACCCTTACATCCTTCGCCTCTACTGTGGCATTCTTTTTTGGATCCAATGTCTTAGAGCTGGAAATGATGTGAACGTTCTTACTAACGTTCAACATAAGTTCCTCAACAGGTTTTTAGACAACCATCCCTTGGAAACCCTCCCTGTTCCCGGTCCGCTCCTCGGGCTTTTCGAAACATTATGCTCTTCCCAACCGGAGTTTCCTCCCCATTATGGGAAAGTGTACCCTCGCATCCCTGTCCAACCAGGCCCGGCTCAACGTGACGCATTCATGAGAGATGATAACCTTGAAAGCCACTTCTTGGCTAACGTCCCTCGCATATTCGCCCTCCTCAAAGACCTCAACCGTCTATTTTCTCAGGACCCTCCCGTCTATCCGAAAAGAGGCAAGCACATTCCTGTTAAGGAAAATGCTGTCTCTACCTTCGGTCACAAGACCTTTGGTCTCCATGTTGATAGGACCGAAGCTGAAAAATGGTCACTGGTTTCTCCTGGCTTACAGTACCCTTGTGAAGCCGATCAAAAGCTGAATGAGGCGTTTGCTGAACGCTACATCGATTTTGGCTTTCCGGTCACAACAGCTACCGATAACCTTGGCAAAATCTCCTCATTCCTCCACATGAAACGCAACATGGCTTGGTTCACTCATGTCAAAGAAGTTGCGAACTCTGTTGCTGCGTTCTTTGAAGGATCAGGTACCTTTGATGACTGTTCTCCACATGGCATGGTTGCTAACCAAGTCGTGGCCTGTCTCTCTCCCCCAAAGCATCTTCCGGAGCCACCAACTTGCATCGCGGATAAACGTGCAACCTATGAGTTCAGCTACAAGCTCAGAAGCACAGCTCGCAACTGCTGCCGCGTTCTTTCAGACGCATATCAACCACCCCTACCTCGGGACATTTGGATCGAAAACTCTTGATCATGGCCCGTTCTGGAACAAAAGGCCTATTGGCTCCAGCATTACCGATAACAGCTCTTACCTCACCATCCCATCAAGAGTGAAGCAAGGGATCAAATCGAAAGACACGACCACGTAGTTGTCGTTGACTTATCTGACACATTCCATTTTCCTTTCTCTTTTGTATCTCAGGAATTAGAAAAGCAACAAATGATAATTCCATTCGGATTTGCCATCGTTTTTGTTTATCCTAGACCGAAATGCAAACCAAACCCAAAGTATTGCCAAGTAATCTACTAATGATGCGATTATCCATGAGAATAGTGGAGACAGTTTTGTGTGGCTTTATAAAGTAAACTTCTATGTGGCTTTTATATATGTATGCAGTGATTTGGATCCCTCTCTGTACAAAAAGTATCATAATCCCACCGTGTTCAAAAATTAACCAGAGAACAATACAAGAAGGAGAAGAAAGAGAACATAACGACCAAAGAAGAAAAAATACTTAAAAATGATGATAGATTAGAGACCATGAGGGAGGTTTGTGGTTGTTTCTGTCATCGGAGTCTCCTCAGCTCCATGACTG